CATCATCAGTATAAGTTAGAAATATTTTATAATAGTTTGTAATTGAGAATTTTATGTTGAAAATGAGAGTATGGTGAAATGTAAAACATGAGTTTTCTATTTAATTTTTAAAAAAATATTATGTTTTTTGTATATTTTGTTAATTTTAATTGAATTGCCAATAAAAAGTAAAGAGTTGTATTAAGCCTCGTGTCATGTTAAAAACTTGTTACACATAATTTAAATTATATTCCTACTATATAGTTTGAGTAAAATTTAACATTTTCTAACATTTCCGGTATGACAATTTATTACGGTATAAAACAAAAATGAATATGGAAATATTGCACAACTGACCGGTGGTCGTAGAAATTTCTGATTTCGAAATTCAACTAATCTTCTTAATTGAAAATATTAAATTCAAAAATAGGTTGAGTAAAATTTAACATTTTCTAACATTTCCGGTATGACAATTTATTACGGTATACAACAAAAATGAATATGGAAATATTGCACAACTGACCGGTGGTCGTAGAAATTTCTGATTTCGAAATTCAACTAATCTTCTTAATTGAAAATATTAAATTCAAAAACATTTTACCAAATCTCAATTTTTTTTTTAAAAAATACTTTACTGGTGTTACGTCAAGGTATAAAAACCCAGTCCAAAAGTATTCGAATCATTGAAACATAATACGGTAGCTCAAACCAATCAAGAATTGATATTCAACTGAATATAGAAACAATCTCATCAAAGCAAAAGAGAATATATTGGAACGGCAAAATAAGGTCACGCTATACAATTTTAAAAGCTTACTATGGATGGACAAGAAACAACATTTTTATCTTATTATCATTGTTCAACAAGCTTGTTATTTAATCATGCTAAAAACAAACATTCAGTCATCTAATATTATCAGGAAGCACAATTCAAATTCAAATTTAAAGGCAAATTTAAAGGACAATTAGAAATGCGAGTAACAACAACATTGGAAGAGTTCTTGATTGAGACTTAGATAATGGCAATATTGAATTTATATGATTGGGGAAATACAGACCATGCCACAATAGCCGGAATAATTTCAAAATTACGAAAAATTCTGAAAATATTAAGTACCATAAATTATTCTCTTTTTAAAATTAACATCCATGTTTTATGGAACATATTTATAGCGTTTTTACAGTTAAACATCTCGAAATAGAATCTAAGCTTCGAATGAATTCAACTATATGAACGTAAGCCGATATATAGATTACATACTATAAAATCCACACATATATGGGTAAGTAACTACAATTCCAAATTCTATAAAAAGCAAAAAAAGAAAAAAAAGAAGTAAAATTGAAATCGTGTTAAAAAAATAAATATTTACTTACAAAATTTTTTCGCAAATATTAAAAAAATTTTCTATTTCAGGATATTCAAATAACTCTTAACTATGTATACATTCAAAATCAAGATACAATTTTACCCAAACCCACTGGTACATACATGCAATCATAAAAATACACCTAAACCCATAAAAAAAAGATATAGTCGTATTAAGAGTGAGACCATCACGTAATTCTAAAATAAAAATAGAGATCTTAAAATAAAAATAAGAGGAATATGGACCAGCAGATCACACAAGAGGGACAAATATAAAAGGAATAATCCATGAAGGCAAAATAAAACGAAAATCATCATTTTTATTACTCATATACCGCACATACTTCAAAATATGTACAATATGTGTATTTATTTATTAGGATGTGTTCATTCATTTCACATTCAAAGGTCAGGGAGAAATTTTTCCAATTCCTAAATATATATTTGCATTTCTTATGCTTAAACACAAACACACATACTTCTTTTCTATATATTTGCTTTAGTATTTAAATTTTTGATTGTCACAAAATTTTACTCTATAAAAATTCAAGGACTTTGTTGAATAAAAGACTTTGAATTTTGGATAAACTATTATGGACAGCAAAAAAAAAAGAAAATATTGTCAAGATTGAAAATTATAGATTTTCTTTTCTTCTCAATATTTTTGATTGTATGAAACCGTATGCAAGTGATAGTAATCCTTGTTAAAATTATATGATCCTTGAATATTCAAAAATAAGGTTGATGGTAAAAAGAAAATTTACAATATAACAAAACAAAAAAACAGTAAGAGAAAAGAAAAGAAAATTATTATGATTACAAAAATAAAAAAAAAAGATAAGAAAAGAAAATATGCAAATAAGATTAAGTCTTTCATATAAAAATAATAAAAAAAAAAAATTATCATCAGAAATTTTTAAAACAAACAGAATTGTTGTCCTCCTCTAGGGAATGTGGTGCAATTTTTTCTATTCTTTTTTTCAATTCAGTGTCATTCACATTATACCCGTTGTCATTGTTTTCATTTTTGTTTATGTATATTTGTAAAATGTTTTTAGATTATAAAATTGTGTTTATTTGAAAGATTTTCTCATGATACTCACAGAGAACAATATACAATCGATTTATTGTAGCAAAAATGAACAGATGAAGGATCAGATTTTTAGAGAAGAAGAGAAGATTTTAAGATTGCAATAATTTATCTCCCAAATGCAATAAGGCACTTATTTAAAGAAATAATTTATAATTTTTAGATCTTAACTGTTTAGAAGAATATTGGTACTTATAACTGAAACAACTGATTGAGTTTAATTTTAGTGCTACAAAAGTAAGACACTAGACAGAGAAAACCAAAGCGGTACCATAATGGAAAGTTGTATAGAGGAAAACACAAAAGCTAACACAAAAATTTAAACGTATCATATATTAAAAGCCTATACGATCAGGCTTTTACTCAAAAGCCTGATCGTATATTCACAGAAAAAAGAATAATAAGGCAAATAACCAGTATGTGGTTGTTTATTAAGAAAAAAGAAATGTATAGCAGCTACAGTCTAAGATGGCGATGATGTTTGTATCTATACTGCCTATATCTATATAATGTTATTTACATTTATATGAAAAATAATGAGTTGTTTACATTTTCTACCGTGTTTCCTATGTTTTATATAAGGAATTAGAATTTTTTTAAGGTTTATATGTAAAATATTGAGTTGTTTACGTTTTATATGAAAATATAGAGTTGTTTACGTTTTTTACCGTGTTTCCTATGTTTGAATAAAAAATGAAAAATAATTAGTTGTTTACTTTTTCCACCGTGTTTCTTACGTATTATATAAGGAATTAGAAGTTTTTTACGTTTCATATGTAAAATATTGAGTTGTTTACGTTTTAACTGTAAAATATAAAGTTATTTGTGTTTATATGAAATATAGATTTGTTTACGTTCATATGAAAAATAATGAGTTGTTTACATTTTCTACCGCGTTTCCTATGTTTTATATAAGAAATTAGAAGTTTTTTACGTTTCATATGCAAAGTATTGAATTGTTTACGTTTTCTATGAAAATATAGAGTTATTTACATTTATATGAAAAATAATGAGTTGTTTACATTTTCTACCGTGTTTCCTATGTTTTATATAAGAAATTAGAATTTTTTTATGGTTTATATGTAAATTATTGAGTTGTTTACGTTTTAATTGTAAAATATAAAGTTATTTGTGTTTATATGAAAATATAGAGTTGTTTACGTTCATATGAAAAATAATGAGTTGTTTACATTTTCTACCGTGTTTCCTACGTTTTATATAAGGAATTAGAAGTTTTTTGCGTTTCATATGTAAAATATTGAGTTGTTTACGTTTTAACTGTAAAATATAGAGTTATTTGTGTTTATATGAAAATATAGAGTTTTTTACGTTCATATAAAAAATAATCAGTTGTTCACATTTTCTACCGTGTTTCCTACGTTTTATATAAGGAATTAGAAGTTTTTTACGTTTCATAATATTAATAAAAATTCAACTCTTCAATATTTTGGTTAAAAATTATTTTAAAAAGTAAATTGAAATTAATAGCCAAATTTACTTATGCCATTGTAATAATTTTTAATATAAAACTGCTACAAAATTGCACCTTATAAAAGAAACCTAATCTTATAAAAGCGAACACGGAACTATTACCAATGTCATACAAAATGTTAATTTCACATACGAAATTATTTTTTAAACTTTTTCAAGGATTACAATATTTTGTATAAAAATTTCTTGAATTTGAACAGTGCCAAGTCATCATGACTCCAAAATCCTTATATGTACTTATGTACATACAATATAATTTTCTTCATATCCAAAAATGTCGCCATATTGACTGATTTTAATATAAAAATAAAAATTTTTTTTCCATCATTTAATTTTTATTTTAAAGGTTAAAATCTTTGAAAATGAATCCTTTTTTTTCCAAAAAAATAAAAAAAAAATCAAAAAATCAAGAAAAAAATTTTGTAGACAACAAACTTTCCAATAATTTTTTTATACACTTATATCTGTGGTGTGTGTATGTTTGTAGTAACAATAAATTATCATTTTGGACATTTCTTAAATAAAATATTCACCAGGGACAAACGAAACAAAAAATGGCCGCATTCAAAGTCATTATCAAATGAATAAAATATTTTTGGTTAAAAAAAAAAAAAATCCCAATAAAAATTTCAAACTTAATTTCACATTCATACTGAAATTTTTTTGCTTAGTTCAACAATGAGAAAAGGGGAAGAAAGACTTTACAAATTTTATCAATTTACAAAATCTTATGGACCAAGTAAATCTCAGTCTATCAAATTGATTAGCGGCACACTATCTTACAGAAGGCACACAACTCCAATATATATTTTATGGTTTTGCTATAGAATTAAGTGTCCTATAATTTGCACAGAAAATGGTGCAAGAGAATCCCAAGGACAAGGTTGAAAAATAAAAACACTGGCTTTTGTTTTGGCTGATTGGAACTAGAGCCAGAGATTTCACCCCTCTAGGAAGTTATACAAAAATTTTCGAAAATTATTAAATAAAATTTATAACGTAACTATAATATTAATGATTAATTTATGTAAGAGTTCTCATTAAGACTTTCATAAAATGAATTACAAGTACCTTGAATTTTCCAAATTCTCCAACTACACCTTATGCTCTATATATCTTTTAAAATTTTTCAAATTACATTTGAATTTGTTGTTGTAATACGGTCGTCCTGAAATAAAATCTGAAATGAAAAAAAAAAAACAATATTAGTTCTCAGTACTGCTGTTAAAATTGTATTAAAAAAAAAGTAATAGTATTCGAGTTTAAGTACTCATACTTAAGTAGTATTTTAAAATATGTGTCCTTCAAGTAAACCATAACAATTATTGGTTCAAATCCGATTTTATATAGTATTACACCTTACACTGTTATAAGAACAATTATTGAAAGAATTTACTAAGAAATTTCAATTATAAATTTAACAAATTATGCTCGGAAAAATGCTTGAAAACAATATTCTCATTGCAATGAGATAAAATTATTAATTCAGCTTTAAATTAAAAATGTAAATTAAATTGAAAAGTAATTAATTTTTTTATTAAGTCCCTGAATATGAATGAGAAACACAAGGATATTTTTATTGTACTTTTTATATTGTATATATGCTTAAAAAGTATTAAGAAATAATTGCATATTTATAGGTTTCACATAAAATATATTGTATATTAAATGAATATTTAATTGTATTTTATGGAATTAAGAATTTTAGCATTTAAAAGATGGTTTAAACATTAATTATTTCAGTAGACATGTAGAAGTTATAAAACAGGTGAAGCATCACTAATCTTAGTTCAAAGCGACTGATTTTTAGTACCCGGAAAATTTAAATACATCCTATTCCGAAAAATCCAAAGTCAGGACTCGTAGATTCGGTAGATTCCAAGAGAACCGAATAGGGCAAGGGGACATATCTCCCAGGCCACAGCAGTCATTTGTGACTTATTGTAGCATCCCCATCGTTCTCATTCTGTTCCAAGTATAAAACTGAAAATATCTCTAAGACAATTAGATAGTACTTTCCGAACGCTCAGCTAACCCTGTCAAAGACAATTACGACGACGGAAACCTACTACCGGACAGTAAAGAATGTGCCGTCTCGTCACCAACTCACTGATGATCACCTACTTACAGGATACGGACGATCACTTTGGGAATTATGTAAATCGCATGTTGTCCACTAAACATTAAATTGTTTTTAATATTTTTAACAACATTTTCATTTAATATTACCACTTGCCAGCTCAAATTATTTGCGACAGTTTCTCATTTATATTTCTATTCTCATTCCATCTTAACGTCTCTACCATCTACTAAACTGATGAGTGATGATAATTTTTCCAAAGAACGTATTAATTTTATTTCCATCTTTTTTCTGGTGAAATTTTTTCCAGGAATTTTCCCTTGTATGAATTCACAATATAAAAACGCTACAGCAATAAATGATCTAAATTAAATATTTGAATTTTTTGTTTTTGGTAGAAAAATAAGGAATCTATCACTTTTAGCTTTTAAATTGCAAAAATTGTATTAAAAAGTTTATTGTATAGAACGATAAGGAAAGAATGTCGGGGAAACGAAAAATAGAAATTGTTTTCAAATTCTATATGCCATTGAAAATGAAAAATGTCCTTGAAAATGTTTGTGTTATATATAGGTCTATTTAAGTATTAGTGTTTACATTCCCGATATTAAAAGAAAATGAAAAACGTGTGACAATTAAAGTCAAATATAAGAGTGAGCAAAGTCAACATTTTTTAAGCAACTAATTTTATTTTGTTGAATCTTTTGAAAGTTTTTTGAAATTTTAATTTAAATTGACTCTAAGAAGTTTTTAAGAAAATTATTGTATTGTTGCCGAGGAATTTACAACAAATATGTTTCACAGCAAATATGTTTGCATAACATATCAGCAGAATTTTTGGTTTAAAGCATTTGTTTATCAGAAATCGACTATTTGCCATATTCAGATTCCCATATTCATCTACATTAGCATTACATTAAGGCCTCTGGCAGATTGCAGTATAGCAGGTACCTCAAATCGCGAAACTTTAAGTGGAGTCACAAGGCTCCTTCCGCAGCATCTCAGATGTAGGCGAGCCACCGCGTTCACAGAGTAAATGCAACAGACGGAAGTTCTCGTCTCCGCCTTGCCCATCCTTCTCATATAAACCATCGAGAGGCAATGTCCAGTGAACACACCCTCTAACGACCAAATGTATCTAGTTCCCGCCCCTTCCAATTATTCCAATTTGCTTTACAAAATGTAAATTTAATTTTTCTTGCAAAATTATTTCAAAATTTCACCATCTGCAAAACAAAATGCAAATATGTGTAGCCTAGTCAATTAAATCCAGGTCTTAAATCAATTTTAGTTATTCAGCAATACGATTTAAATTGCTGAATAACTCATGTCAATTTTTGAATTTACTTATTTTAAAAGTCTTCCGATTTTAAATAATTGCAAGATCTAAAAACATATTCAACACATTATTTTACTTATTCGATACAAACGGCACTATCAAATCGGGAAAATTACTTGGTTGAAATTATTTTCAATATTCCTTATTATTTGAACCCCTAAATATATGCTATTTTTTTTTTACATTTGAATTACACACATTGACTTCCTGCGAATTCAAAAAAAAAAAAAAAATTTTATCATTCAAATTTTATGATTTTAAGTACACAAAATAAAATATATTGAGTGACTCCATTCAATTTCATTCTAAGAACATTTATAGATAACAACACTTCTAACATTTTAACCTTGAAAATCGCAAATTTTAGAAAAAACATAAAATTATTTTCTATTGAACAGGAAAATGAGCTTTTTGATATGAAGAAAATAATGTTAAGGTTCATCATCATATGTGATATTGTCGCTTTTCTTTACATGTGCTTACAAAAACTGAGCTTGTTTACATTCTAAATACAATTTTAAGGAAAAACAAGGATTTCAAGTGTTTGAAATAAAGCAAAAACAATTTCATTTTAAAAAATTCTTTAAATTTTTCTTTACAGTATTTTTCCACAATTTAAACATCAAAAGTACTTTTCACCCTTCAGCATTCTCAGATGAAAAATTTTCATATATGAGAATGTTGAACATATACAAGAGGTTTCTCATTTATAATGTGTGAATCATTTAGAAAGCACAAAAGAGACACAAACAAACAGAATCCTTGTTGCCATATTTAACAAAATTTTTGCCTTTACGTTATTAAAAATAAATAAACAACTTTTTTAAAATTTATTTCTTTTTTCACATAATTTAAATGCCTTCATTGAAATTTTTATATTGGAATTGCTAATGTTTTTGATAGGTTATAATTTCGGTTCATATTGCCAAAAGTAAAACAACAAAAATCATAAAATGAGAACTGAAATCAAAATTGCTTATAAATCAAGTGTGAAATTTTCTTTTGAATATAAAAGGATTTTTTGGTTTACTTTTGTTCTTTTTTTTTCCTTTTTAAATTAATGGTATTTACAAGCATATTGAAAACGATGATAAAGGTTAAAAACGGATGAAATTATTAATAAAGTTTTAAAATGCCATTTTAATCGATTTATTACCCCTAAAAAATTCATTGATTTCAAAAACTTTAACATACACAGGAAATGAAATCACGGAAAATGAGAGAGATGAAAAAGAGCAGATGCCAGTGGGTCAAGATGTTTGTGTAAGAATTAATGATTAATGGAAGGCAAAAAGAACACTCATTCAATTTTCAACTATCTCAAGTAAGTGTATAAAATTTTTAAAATTTTATTTGTTATTCAATGGTAAAGTTAATGTCAGATTTCTGTGACCTCATGAAGGATTTTTAATGCAAGCAAAACTATATATTCACTTGTGTAAAATTTCAATACCACAGCTTTTACAGTTTTCTGAGATACAGCCAAATAAATTTTGAAGTTGTATGGCAGTCACCCGAAATGGTACCCCAATCATGTCCAATTTAAATAGGATTCTGGCATTTACTACAATAAATCATTTGTGAAAATTTGGTGAAGTTAGCTCAATTAGTTTTTGAGTTATCGTTGGGACGGCCGGACGGACGGACAGACTCAGAATTCGACGCTGATCTAAGACATACACTTGAGTATCTATGACCGTTATTTCTTAGCGTTACAAACGGTAAGGCAAATTTAGTATACCCTTCGAACATACGTTCGTACGGGTATAAAAATTAATTATACTTTAGTAAGTACTCATACTTTAATTTCCATATACTAAATTAGTATATTTAATTACGGTACATACTACACTCAGAAAATTTTTTAATTCTATTTTCACTCATGTATCTGCATAACAGAATATATTCTATATACTTATATACATACATAAGGTATATAACCAGTTATTTTCAGTGATGAAAATCGCAGAAACTTGAAATGTTGGAATGCAAAGAAAAAACATTTATTTTAAAAGTGAGTATGTATGTGTATATATATAGCGCGTACATATAAGTACAAATATATGTAAATAAAATTTTAAAAAAATAATATAAAAATAGGTTAAAAATTTTATTATAAAAAGTAATAAAAACATTAAAAATGGCAAGATTTGTATATATAAGCTGTTCAAATAGTCAAGTAAAATAAAAACGTAAATAAATAAAGTAAGTACGTAAACAAAAAATTTTTTTTTAATACAAACATGTCTAAAATTAAACTGTACACCTGCATATGCATAACTACTTATATCTAGTTATGCAAATATGCAATTTTTTCTATGGAGTTACAAAATAAAAATAGAAAAATTTTCATCTACGTCAACGTATATCAATTTCAATTTATGAATCAAATTTCAATCAATGATTCACTATTATTTCACGCCTCCATTGTAATTGTACACAACTACATATAAATAAAAACTACAATGTCGTTCATTATTTTAAATGACATTGCCGTGCTTGCCCAAATTCCTCTATAATGCCATAACTATAACAACCAAATTAAAATTTAATGTTGAGTAAAATTAAAAGACTCAATTTTTTTTTTAGAAATTTTAAGCCTATTATCATTATATAAGCTGTACGCTTTACACAAAAAATCGCATTACAAAATAATGATAATGGGAGGTGTTAAATAAAAGCAAATTTAATAATTCAAGTTCAACAAATTAACTGTTAAGTATTTTTTGTTTTTCTTTATATACTTACATTTTTCCTTTAA